AGCGTGTTGGGCATGTACCTGTTCGGCGGTAAATTCTGTCGCTACGTCGGCGACCCTTCCGAGGACGGTCTGCCGCCCTTGAACAGGCGAGGTGAGCCCATCGAAAGGGAGTGCACTTGTCCCGAAATAGTGGCAAAGGACCCCCATTGCGAATGCGACAGGAAGCATTTCAATGATATCCTGTGGGCGACGGTCACAGTATTTCAGGTAAAAATGGTAAAAATTTGGTGGAGTTGAAAGGGTTGGTGGAGATGGTGGAGATGATGAAGGTAAGTTGGGTGAAAGATTGGTGAAGGGAATTTGGTGAAGAAACTTTTGGCTGATGTTTTGTAACAATTTTCATGTAAAGTGGTACTAAAAACTGTCAAAATGCAAACTCTTACCTAGGAAACGCACAAATGTCAAAAAAACGATGTTATCAAGGTATGTTACTCATGTACATGTTGACCTGGGTGACGGGTGACACACTTAAGTTTTTTTTTGTATTATTTTATTTTTTTTTTAATTATGTTCGATTTTATTGGACCAATGAAATACTGATTCAAAAAACGTCGAGTTAGTATATTAATAATATAATAATAATAATAATAAATATTGAATTAATAATATCATAAAAAAATTCACATAGGCCATGATAGCTTTAAGTTTCACATAATTTCACATTGGCTGTTTTTTTTTATAATTATTTAATGTTTTATAATTATGCTTGATATTATTAAAAGCGTCGAATTATTGAATTTAACACGTCAATCGCCACGCTAAAATAAAAAAAAATCACATAGGCCATGATAACTTTATTAGAAAATTTTGTTAAAAATGTATCAAGAAAACTCAATATATCAAAGAAATTTTTGGAAAACGCTATTTTTAATATCACACATATAAGACTGACATGGCCTTATGGCTAAGAAATTTTTAGGTCAATTTGTCAGAAGCATATGTCTGACATGGCTCGTGTAGAACACATATTGCTGACATGGCGATTAACGTGTAAAAAAAAATAATATCGTTTGAAATTGTTTTGAAAATAATTTTCATGAAAAACAAACATCAGAAAATTGTTTATATTAAAAGTTTAATAATTATTTTTTTAATTTAAACAATTATTTTAAGGTAAATCGAAATATTTTACTTTTGTTAATTATGACAAAAACATGGTCCAAATAATTCATTTTAATATTTTTCACCCCTCTTAGAACAAGATTTTTTATCAAAACTTGATACTACAGTATTGGACTTAATATTTTACATTTTTATAATAATTTTTTAGAATTTTAATCTTTTATTTAATCACCTGTAATCTTTATTTTTAACTTATTTTAACAAAAATTTTCTTCATTTCATCAGTGTGTGTACTATATATAGAATTGTTGTCATAAATTTCATTCTACTTTTAAATAGTAAAAAAAATTAAAAATCTCTAATATGGGTTATTATTTTTTTTGCATATTTGTTTACACAGACAAACTACATACAAAAATTGTGTAAACAAAAATTTATTATAAATAATTAAGTAAAAAGTCTACGAATAAGGTAAGTGGTTACCACTAACATAATATTTTTTATTCATTGCATTTTTATCTATATATTTATATATTTTTGCTTATACATTTAAAATTTTATTCTATGTGTATATATTTAGTTTGTTTAGTTATGAAAAATTTTGCAAAATATTTTATTCATTTGAAATAAACTGTTTAAAATATACAAAAAATAAAACAAACTATAAAATATAATTATAATAATATAATATAGTAAACATAATTTATAAATATTCAGAATTTTTAAAAAATACTTAAGAAATTTTAATATTTTTTATATAAATTTTTAATTTAACTTATAAAATATTTATAAATACCAAAATTTTTGTTTGTCAAATTAAAAATATGATTTTATTTTTAGAATTTTCAATATGCCAAAGTTTTTAAATTTTACTTCTATTTTTTTATTTATTTACTTATTCGTTTTATTTACTATAAATAAAAAGCTTAAAAGTTTAACAAAATAAATAAAAAATAAATACATAAACGAATTTGAGGATTCACGTTGCATTCTTTTAGTACGTGCTCGGATTTTTTAAATTCCTAAATTCAATTGCAATTTTATAGTATACCGAGTTGCTGTAGGACATTATAATGTTAGAATATATTGTACATTATTTAATTTTGTATTAATTTGCCATAAAAACCATTCACGTGAAACAATTTGTCAAAAAGATACGACACATTTAATAAATACATGACAAAATATTTTTCTGAAAGTACAGAATCAAAAATCAAATCAAATAATTCCCCCACATTTCTTTTACTAATCAGTAATCTTTTTTTCCTCCAACAAATTCATTATTCGCAGAGAAACAGAATTAAAAAACATTATACAAATTAAGTTAAACAACAAACTGTATTGTGTCACAAAACAAGATTGTGTTTTTCCTTTTTTCCGTCCGAATAAAACTTTTTAATACGAACTCTCATTATAAATTCAAATGAGGGAAAACTTGTCGGAAAACGATGGAAAAACTAATTAGATTCTTGCTTTTTTTCTTCTTTATTTTTCATCTGAGTTCGACTCGTTAATTGAATCTTGGAGGAGGAAAAATAAGATGTTTTTTATGGGAATCGATTGAGTGGAGTGATTTAATTGATTATATCGAGATGAATTAATAAAAATTTTAAAACAGGCATTTATATGTAATAAATATTTTTACATAACATATTTTTACATTTTTAATTTAAAATATGAAAATTCGGCTGAGATTTTATTTTAATATGTATTCTTCAAAATAAATTTAGTATTTAGTAGGTAATTTTGCTACTACTAGGTACTAAAATAAATATTATTTAAATAACGTACTAAATAATTTTATATATTTATTCAATTTATAACCATAATTTTCGTAAATATATTTAATATTATGTGAAACATAAAACAAAAGCTAATAAAACCTAAATTAATTGTATTGTAACTTTAAAAAAATATATATAATTTTTTTTTAATTTTTTAGTAAAGTATATATATATTTTAAAAATTAGTTCTTCTAACAAAATAAATTTAGAATAATAAGTTTATAACATTTTTTGGCATGATTTTTTTAAATAAATTTCAAATATGTTTTTATTAATTTTACAAATTATTACTAATTTGCTTATGTACATACGTGTATACCTATTTACTAAAGAGGATTAAATAAAAAATATGAAATTCATTAAAAAAATATTATTAATAATAACAAAATTAAAATAAATATTATAACAGCAATTTTTATGCATGTTGTGTTTTTTTTTATTAATTTTGAATATATTTTAAGTTTTTTATATAAATTTTATTTATTAACGCAAACAAATATTATAAAAAAAAATATCTTAACAATAATTTAATAACAATTTTAAAAATCTACTTTTGCATGTTTTTTCTTACATTTTTTTTATAAATATTAATATAATTTACTACTTTTACATGAAATATAGTTTAACATATATATAAATTAACATATAGATGAAATATAATTGTTTTTGGCATGATTTTTTTTAATAAATTTTTAATATGTTTTTATTAATTTTACAAATTATTACTAATTTGTTTATGTACATATACATATTTACTTAAGAAAATTAAATATCAAATATAAAATTTATTAAAAAAATATTAATAATAATAACAAAATTAAAATAAATATCGAAATAGTAATTTTTATGCATGTTTGAATATATTTTAATATTTTTCATATAATTTTCATTTATTAACGCAAACAAATATTATTAAAAAATATATTTTAACAATTATTCTCATAACAATTTGAAAAATATTCTTTTGCATGTTTATTCTCATTTTTTTATAAAAAATAATATATTTTAATACTTTAACATATATATTAATTAACATAAATAAATTTTCAAATATATTTTTGTTGTATTTTTTATTTAAAAAATCTAAAACAGTGCTTTATCTTATTTTTTATATATTATATAAACTTATAATAATATATTTGAATACGTGTATATTATTAAAACTTAAAAAATTAACATATATTTATGCATGTTTAAATTTACATTTCTACTAATTTATAACATATATAAAATTTTTGCATGTTAAATAAAATTTAATTAATTTTTGTAAATTTTTGTATTTATTAATATTTATACTTTGTGTATGTTTGTAATAATAATTTTCAAAACGTGTATCTAATATTAATATAAAATATTTCTAATATTAATATTAAAAACATATTTTAAAAATTTCAAGTTACAAATTTTTATTTATAATGCTTTCTTGACTAATTTTCAAAGTTTTGTAAAATGCTTTTTTAATATTTTAAATACAAAATTTTATTGCAATGTTCATGCAAGTTTTTGAGATAAAAAATAAATTATAAATTTAAAATTAATTATCAATTAAATTTCATATTTAACTAATATTGCTCTTTTTTATAATTATTTTACTAACGACAAAAATGACAAATCTTGAATTGTATAAAATATTTGAAGCATTTTTTCCTAACAATGTAATGTTTTATAATTTATATATTTTTATAGAAATTTCATTTAATTTTATCATGCAAGAAAATAGTAAATATAACATTTAATTAATTAAAGTCATTAATTTTGAAAATTCTATTTAAAGCCTATTCTATTTATTATATAATATTCAGTATTAATTTAGATAGAATAAATTTAAATATATTTATATACAATTTTTGTATTAAATTTTACTTACTAGGGCATGAAGCATGTGCACAACTGTTCTAATAATTCTTAAACAGAATTAATATTTTGCAAGAACATTGTGACTTAATATTTTTTATTTTGTAATATTCAGTATTAATTTAGATAGAATAAAATTAATTTTATTTATACACAATTTTTGTATTAAATTTTACTTACTAGAGCATGAAGCATGTGCACAACTGTTTTAATAATTCTTAAACAGAATTAATATTTTGCAAGAACATTGTGACCTAATAATTTTTTATTTTGTATCCATTATTTTAATTTTTTTTGTAGATTTTAACCCAAGAAGATTGGAATGTGGTTTTGTTCAACGGAATGGAAAAGACCAGCCATTGGGCAGCCCTGTATTTTGTGGCCCTTATGACCTTTGGAAATTATGTGCTTTTTAATTTACTCGTCGCTATTTTGGTCGAAGGGTTCAGTTCGGAGGTAAAAAATAAAAAAAAATTAAATTAACCAGTTATAATATATAAATTGTTAATTTTTTACAGAGACATGAAAGAAGAGAAAGGGAGCAAAGGGAGTTGGCCAAATCAAAATTATCAGCAGAATGGTATTCGGATTCTAATTCTTATGATTCCAGGAGCGATTCTTCTCATAGTGACAGTTTTACACAGGTAAAAGGAAAATATATACATATACCCTAAGTCTGTTTTTACACGGTAGATTGGTTCCAGAAGAAGCCGTGTAAAAAAAAAACGTGTAAAAAAAGACATTGATCTTATACAAAAATGGGTGATTTGTTCCTAATCTCTAAAACCTATTGAAATTAGTGAAAAACAAGAACTTTTAAGAACAAAAATTCATGTTTATTTTATTAAATCAAATATATAATGCTTATTTTCACAAGCATAGTAATTAATGTTGAAAAAGATATGAACTCTAATCTTAAAAGTAATATTTGGTTGTCAAATATCTCCCTTCCGCTTTTTTTGCTCTTGGTTTATAATACAAAAAGGCGGAAGGGAGATATTTGACAACCTATTATAAATTAAATGTATGGCAAGTTCAGGAACTAAAAAACTATGTTGTGAACGAAAAATTTAATTTGACAAAAAAAATTTAAGTACATAAAATTTCAAATTTAAAATATTCAATTTTTAAACCGTGTTATATCAAAACCGTGTACAAAAAGATCGTGTAAGAACAGACTTAGGTGTATATTTAAAATCAGTAAATGTAAAACCATCTGTAAATACACTTGGATAAGCACAAAAAGTTTCATCAAAATTGGACTAACCGTTTAGGAGTAGTTCAGTGTCATACATACGCGTACAGAAAAATCTTACAAATCTTGGGGGCAAGTCTGTCTCATAACATAGCGTTGTCATGGCAACTGTAAAAACTGTAAAAATATCTATCTATTCATTATTATTTTGACAGAATACAGTTGATGTAAAATATAATCCTTAATTCAATTATCCTTTCTCCCAGGAAATTAAAAATACATGGCGCTCCGCCGACGATTTGCACAAACTCAAAGACTCGAATACAAACGCTGCAGCAAATTCTGGGACAGCTTTGGCGATTTCTGCAAATGTCGGTACAAGCAAAATGGTCAACAAGAGAAATTTAGCAAATTTGAGAAGACTGCAGGAACCTAAATGCAATATCGAGAAGCAGTCGAAGATGTTGCAAAGGACTAAGGGATCTGTTCAAGGGGATGCAGAAATTATAAGGTAAGAAAAAATATATATTGATGTTGTTTTACGTGTAGTTGTTACAAGACTTGCTGTTTTTGATGTGAAACTTCTTTAGGCGTGACTAGGGTGTAAATCAGTACAAATGCAACGGAAATTGTTACGGCAAGGTCAAGTGAGAGTCATTTCCTTTTGATGATATCATTTCTATACGGGTCGATTGTAATTAGTCGTCGTGTATGTGAATAGAGATCTGTCGTTGTATGCGTACCGATATCGACAAGAAAATCGGCATAGATAAATAAAAATTATAAAGTTACATGGTAGTACAAATCTTGATTTAATGAAAAATGCCTAAATCAAAAAAATATTTAACACTGTCGCCCAAAATTTAGTTTGCTTGTCAGTAGAGTCCTTTTTTTATTTGCTCAGCAGTAGATTTTCTTTTTTTAAATATTTTTAAATGGCTTGTCAGTAGTGTTTTTTCTATTAGAATTGTTATTTGCTCGTCAGTAGAGTCCCTTTTTTGTTTTATTATTAGTATATTCTTCAATAGATCCTTTTTTGCTTTCATTGCTAGTTTGCTTGTCAGTAGAGTTCCATTGTTCTTTAATTTTTAGTTTGCTCGTCAGTAGATTCCCTTTTTAATTTTAATTTTAGTTTGCTCGTGAGTAGAGTTTCTTTTATAATTTTACAGTTAATTTCCTCGTCAGTAGAGTCCCTTTTTTACTTCAAAATTTAGGTTGCTCATAAGTAGAGTCCCATTTCTCGTCGCCTAGATATTTAATTTGCTCGTCAGTAGAGTCCCTTTCTTCTACTATTTTTAGTTTGCTCGTCAGTAGAGTCCATTTCTTCTACTATTTTTAGTTTGTTCGTCGGTAGATTTTTTTTTTTACTTTTGATTTTACTTTTGCGTTCGTTTGTGAGTAGAGTTCCATTCATATTTTTTTAAATTAATTTGCTCGTCAATAGAGATCTTTTGTTTTTCTAATCTTTTAGAAGACCCTTTTTTTTAGTTTGTTAGTCAGTAGTGTCTTTCTTCATTTTTTATTAGTTTTCTTGTGAAATCGTTGTATTTTTTTATTTATAAACTGCTCCTTAGTACAGTTCCCTTTTTTGTCACGAAATTTAGTCTTCTTGTCAGTAGAGTCCTCTTTTTTGCTTTGAAATTAAGTTTGTTCGTCAGTAGAGTCTTTTTATATTTTGTGTAAATGAAATATTTGCGCCGTGTACGAAAAGTAAGTTTGTTGAAATAATTTCTATATTATTCGTAGTTTCTATAAATATTTGAAATAATTAAAATGGAAAATATTTTTATAGGCAAGACAGATATTACAGTTGTTTAAAAAATGAGATTATATCGCCAGCGAAAAAGTAAAAAAAATACAATCAGTCAATGAGTGTATGTTAATTTTAATTACATGAAGTTCTTCAAACACAAATATTACATGATAAGTGAAGTTACAAAAACAATATTTGTTCAGACGCTTTTTAACATGATCCTTTGTGTGAACGAATATTATATAATTTATTAAACAGCAATTACTTCATTTCTCTAATGAAGGTTCATTTCTAAATGCTTATTACAATGACAAACCGATCATGTCATATTTGAAATATGACTTTAATGGCATTATTGTTTTTAAATATTATACATATTTTTAATGCTATTATAAATATATAATTAATAATTTATCATTATATAAATGTGAATAATGGTCGACACTAATAAATGTGTGCATGACGACTTTTACCACATTACTAAAAGACATTATTCGAAATTGTTACATAATGTATTTATTTTTACATAAATGCCATCTTGTACAGTAGCAAATAAGTTTTAGTTCAATCGCGTGTGAACCTTACTCACACTTTTTTTTTTTTTGCAGAAGTCCTTTACCATTGCCGGTAATTACCCATACTTGTGCCACACCTCAAGATTCCCCAAATACAACCCTGGAACCTCCAGTTTGCAAAACAACAGGTGAACGTGGTGGTTCAATTCGTCGAAAAGCTTTGGGCGAAGATGAAACTGACATTTTGGACACCATGGATTTTTTAGACAAAAGCTCTGTAAGTACAAGTTAAAAATAATAAGCTAGCAGCTAGAGTTTGTCGGTTTTCAAAAACCGGAAAATTATGGAATTCGAAAACCGGTTTTTTAGTGAAAAAAGTCGGTTTTCACTGTATAAATGGAAAATGACAAAAGTGCCCATAATCATGAAAGTGGTCTAAGTCATATATTTCTTGTTTCGAGATATTTAATGAATTGCATTTGAATAAATTAAAAAATATTTTTACATTATGCGTCATTTTAATTTTTAATTTTATTAGTCTCAATTAATGGAAATTTATTGTGAATATGAAATTTTGTGTGAATTTCATACGATAATATTGCTTTTAAAGTTTGAATTGACTTAGATCATTTTCAAAATTAACTGAATGTCCTATAAATGACTTGAAGCAATAAAGAACTTTGAGTTTTATTTGAAACAATAATTTTATTGGAATAATTTGTGAGCATTTATTAATTATTTTTAAACGGTAATCCATTTTTATCATTATTTCGAGTATTTAAGATTTTTAAAATGTTCCTGAAAAACTGGAGGAATGTACGATAGTAAACTCATAATATCTCTATGTTTTTCATCCGATACTGGTCTAATGCTGGTGTATAAGGGAAGTAATTTAATATTTCCGTATATTTTTGGTCTTCCTCTTTTAGGTGAAAGATCCAAAACGTGAAATGTAGAATCATCTAAAGAAGTTTTATAAAACATTTAATAAGATTCATTTTTCAAGAATCTCATCCATTGAATTTGTAGCCAAGAGACAGATTCGCCCGCAAGTTTTGATTTTTTTGTCGTGTATTCTTCGCCATTATTTCTCTTAATTTTTCTAATATTTTGTGCATAACTACTTTCATTCTTTGCCCGTTTTCTTGTCTTATCTTTTTCTCCCTGCACCATTTCTTTATATATAATTTCTTTAAATTTTTGACTTAGATTACTTTCATAATTAACACTAAATGAATTCCATATAATGTTGAAATTACAACCACTATATAATGGTTCATTTTTGACAATTTCGTAAAAATCACATTGAATACATTTAGTTTAAACTAATGTGGTATGAAATAACTGATAAATTCATTTTTTTTTTAATTTTTGACTTAGACCACTTTCATAATTATGGGCACAAATATAGCCAAATATAAAAGATAGATGAAAGCGTTTTGATTCTTGGAATCATATCGGTTCAATAACATATGATATCTTATCAGTCTGCAATGGTTCCCAAAAAAGTTTTGTATATATTAGTTACGATTTTTATACCAGTGTATATATTAATTTAAATCAGAGTGACTTCTTCTTGAAGAAGCAACATCCTCTACTCTAACTTAAAAAAAAGTTTTAAACCCTAGAAGTCACAAAGAACAAAAAACTTAGAATTATTATATCAAGCTTTAAAAACAATTAAGCATAATTTGGTCGCAAGTATAAGAGTATTTTCTCTTACAGAAAATTTTGTTAGTAAACAAAGGACATGTCTAATTTGCAATTCCATAGACGTTCTCAGTTTTTTGAAATCATATTTTATTAAACAAAAAAACAATTAGAATGTTTAAAACTAATTAATTAAAATTGCTCGGAACAGACAATAGCCGAGTTTAGCTTAATTGTTTTTAGAACTAAAATTGATATTAACAAGTATGTATCTGTAGAATTTATGTTAAAAGTTTATGTGAATAATAATACAACCGTTTATGCAGAAAGATAGAAGCAGACTGACTGATTATATATTCTTTAACTGATCACATGTATTACAAATATTATTAACAATCACTTGTTGACACAAAAACAAAAGAGAAACATATATACATAAACATACAGTAGGCATTGAGTGTTTAGTATCAAACTTCAACAGTATCAACATGTATCTAATATTTAATTTAATTTAATGAATGTTTTTTATTTAAAAATGTATTATTTTTATTTATTCGAAAACTTTCGTTTCACTATCATAAAAATATTTTCATTCTTATATGTGAAAATGATGCATGAATAACGAATAATTATTTTCAAAGGTATTTAATAAAGATAAACTATTATTTTTTAGTTTTACTAATTAAAATTAAAATAATTTTGTTTACTATCTATAAAATTGAACAATAAATAAAATCAGTCAAATACTGCTCTAAATTACACTAAATTTGCGTAAAAATTACATAGTATTCGAGCAAAAATTTATTTTCTATATAAAATTCGAAAACCGGTTAAAACCGGTTGTTTAGTAAAATTAAAATTCGAAAACCGGTTTTCTAAAATGTCGGTTTTTGTATAAATTCTAATAACATGTGTCCTTTACCCCAGTGTTCTAGTATCCCTGGTCTTCTAAAACCGCCAATTCTGCACGTCAACTCGACTTTAAATCTGAAGGCAGTATGTGTGACACCTGTACCATCTTTGGAGAAGTCGAATACAGAAAAAGCAGCATCTACAAATTTACTTTTGCCATCAACAACGCCTCAATTTTTATCCCCAAATTTTATTCCAAACAACAACTTTCTGAACATTCCGGTTGAAAGATCAGGAAGCGCTCCGGTTGGATCGAATTTGAGTTTGAACCATTTGCTGCCACCAGTTTTGAACCAGGAACGATGTGCTTCCAATTTGAGCCTCAATTTAGCCAACAATTGCCTGGGAAACCAAAACATAAATACAGAAGATGGTCTGAATAGTAGTACCACAGAACCAGGTAATGAACGAAAAGTCTTGTTGTGATAATATTTGTAATTTCTGGCACATTACTTGATTTACTGGTTTAAATTTATTAGTCAAGAATTTAAAAAACCTATTCCAACTTTCTTTCACAGAGTTTATACAATACGATACAGTCACAACTAGATTGTTTTCAAAAATATTTTTTAAAATGAGATATATTTGAGGATTCTTTGTGGGCTATTAACTATTTAGTTCATCAGTTAATCAAGATCTGAAGAGAAAATAGAAGTTCAGCCTAAAATAAAGCACGGGTTTATTTAATCAATTATTTAATCCTTTATAAATATTTATACAGATTATGATTATTATTATTTTTAATTTGTTATTTCTCATATTGATTAATTTTAATTATTTTTATTTCAAAAATACTTCATATGACTGTATCGTTTAATTTATTTTATAAAAATCGAAAAGGTCTGAGTAACCTTTCAGAACTAATTTGATAATTTACATTTATCATAATATTACTGAAGGTTTCTTTTGTAAAAACAGATTGAAAGGAAAATAAAAAAATACAGACTCTCTTCATATATATTAGTTTCACATGGGTCATTCTTTTACAAATCGTACGGATTTTCGAAAAAATAAAATATCACATTTTAGAGTTGTCTGAATTTTTTTTACAGATATTATACATAAAATCATTTGACACGTATTTCAGGATTTTGCTAAGAAAAATTTTTTACGAAAATATTTACGATTGAAATATGGATTTTTTGCTCAATTTCTATGAATGCGGTAAATTATTTATCTCCGGATGTGCTGATCGGATCAGTATTATTATTTTTTTTATTACTATCATATTGTAGTGAACTTTGTAATGATGAGATTTTTTTTGTTTTTGCAATTTTCTTAAAAAATAACAACCCTTAAATATTTACAAAGGTTTTACTCAGCCTTACCCCAATTTTTTAACAACAATGTTTGAATTAGACGGATTGTTCAGTTAGATTTTTCTAATTATAAGAAAATGTTTTTCAGACTTCAGATCAAAGCATCAGATCAAAGGTATATCTGGTATTTTCTTTATAAAAGTATACGAATTAAATTGTTATTTCACATTGGCTATATAATTAAGCTATAATACGTAAAATTCCATTAAAATTAAAAATAAGTCGATCCCTTTTTATCCAGGCTATAGAGTAAAGACGGAAAATGACAAATTTTAGAAAAATGTCTGAAAAGCATTTTCTTATGATTAGAAAAATCTAACTGAACAATCCATCTACATTCAAATATTGTTGTTAAAAAATTTCTAACTTTAATTGTTTTTGAAATATTGGCAGTGGATCTTTTTACCCACGAACTTTTAAGCTCCGCTCTCTCCTAATTTTTTTTTGACTATATATTCATTTTTCGCCAGAAGCGAAATTATAAAATATTCTTCAACCGAAAAACAATAAGATTGAAAATATTTAATATCTTTCGATGTAACAAAGTCTCCAACAAATTGTAAAAAGAATTTTGTTGCAGATAAAAAAAAAATGTTTTTTCTTGGATCGATTCAAGTTGGGGTAAGGCTGAGTAAAACCTTTGTAAATATTTAAGGGTGCTTATTGTTAAGAAAATTGCAAAAACAAAAAAAAATGTTTTTAATCATTACAAAGTTCACTTCAATATGAGTGTAATAAAAAAATAATAATACTGATATCCGATCAGCACAACTGGAGATAATTAATTTACCGCAGATGATGTTCATAGAAATCGAGCAAAAAATCCATATTTCAATCGTAAATATTTACGTAAAAAATTTTCTTTCAGCAAAATCCTGAAATACGTGTCAAATAATTTTATGTATAATATCTGTAAAAAATAATTCAGACAATTCTAAAACGTCAAGGTCTGGATGGTGTACGGTTTGTAAAAGAATGACCCATATATTAAATCTTTAGTACTTGTTTTACCAATTTCTGTCTTTGTAGATAATGCTGATGTGCAACAATCAGATCAAAGTTTGGTCAACAATAATTTGGATTCAGCGACTAGTCCAGGGCCAAAAAATGGTTCAGATGTTGAAATTTCTTCAAATGGAAATCAACATCAAATTTTGTCAGTTGGTCAAGTTGCTTCTAGTAATGGTCTGGTTGCTAATGGGGCTGTTGCTGTAAATAATGGCATTTTGCTGAATAATAATAATGGACAGATGGATGTTAGCATTACTATTCAACCAGAGGTAAATGAAAAATAATTGGATAAGAAGTTTTGTAGGAACTTAGGCACCGATTCTGCCGCATGACAGACCAATGTTATGGCCATGTTACGCTCCAACTTCCACACACTATGCTTCTGAATTGTACTGAATACTGTCAAAATGTCATGTATCTACGTCACCCAAGGTCTAGGCTCAGAATACATTTTTGTGTCGGCAATAAACATTGAGGTCTAGGTATACAAAATGGGTATACCAACAGAAGTCCGGTGTCAGGTAGTAAATGCGTTAACTACGGTGAACCGAGGACTGGACGTACCTTATAAGTAGTCACGAAAGACCATTGATTATGGTGCTGCATCAAAATCTATAATTTTTAAATCCCCAAAAAATGCTCTTTCTCTGTCTTCAGCTCAAACGTCGTGTTTCACTAGTGTGGGAGTAGTTGTGAATATGATAGTATAAACTCCACTTGTATAAAATATATATAAAATTTATTGATTATGAAAATTAATGATATAAAAATATGACAAGTCCAATTGTTTTCTCTACCATGACTAGCCTGCTTGATCGCCACAATCTGCAACGTCACTCGTATGTTATGAAGCTTAGTCAGAAAAGCCCTGCCACCTAAGATTGTTGTTTTGGCATTTATGCTGTTTCTAGATTAAGTTTTATATCTGACAACCTGAGGAATACGCTTGATTTTGTATGGAAAGTTCTACATAACATAGTCTTGCGATAACATTGGTCTGTTATGCAGCAGAATCACTTAATTTGGTGTTTGTGTAATATTTTCTGGTTTCTTTAGTTTTCTTTATTGATCTATGAATTGATCTATTTTTGATTTTGCAGATAAAAGAGAAGTCATCAAATCTTCTTCCAAGTGGATCTCTAAGGATACGAAGAGGTTGTAGTTGGCGATTAGGTCGCACCAGTCTTAGGAAAAAATCTAGTCCAGGTAAAAATTAATTTTGGTAAAATATTTTGATCAAGCTGATTAAAATTCGGACTTGTTGTAAGACAAATTGGAAGCAGCACAAATTATGCTTTTGTGACTAATTAAATTGTCCTTGTTTTCACTATTCTTGAGTGCAAGTGACACCAATCCAATTTTCATAATATTTCAGATAATCTGGTCACTTTTTCTGATGATCAGTAACATAAAACTTAACTTGATCTCCTATTATTTTAGGTATTTTGGGTTCTGCATCCTTAGACAAGGACCAGGATGGTGAAACTACTGCCAATGTTGTCATTTTGAATAATGGAAGTGATAAAGCTCATAGTAATGGTGAGAAATTTACTGGAAATATTTAGGATAAGTTATGATAAATGTAAGATTGCTGATGGTTGACAAATCAAATTCATTGGATTTTTTAGTATATTTGATCAACTGGAAAAATTATTAAAATCAAATTCTAGTGTCTGACCTTGATCAAATGTTACTAAGTATTTATAACTACTTTATAACCATTATCCATTTTATTTGATCATAATGATAGAATCATGATTGATATAGGTGTAATTGATTCTAGTACTGTGCAACTTGCAATAGCAAGTTTTAAGAACTCCAAAATATTTGGTTTCGATGGTATTCCATCTTTCTTTATACGTGATTGCTCATCTACTCTATCTGATCCACTTGCATTTTTATTTAATCTATCTTTGCGTACAAACACTTTTCCAAATTATTGGAAAATTTCACGATTACTTCCAACTTTTAAACAAGGTGATACATCAAACATTGCAAATTACAGGCCGATATCATTATTATCAAACTTTGCTAAGGTGTTTGAAAAAATTATTTATAGAGAACTAATTCCTTATGTGAGAACTTTAATTTCTACTAATTAACATGGATTCATGCCTGCCCGTTCAACGATAACAAATTTAATATGTAATAAACAATATATAGCTGAGAATCTTGAAACTAATGGACAAGTTGATGTTATTTATACTGATTTCAGTAAAGCTTTTGACAAAATTGATCATAACATTCTTCTTACTAAATTATCTAAGATTGGTCTTAATTCTTCACTTATTTATTTTTTCAAGAGTTATCTTCATAAGCGTAAACAGCTTGTATATCTGAATGGGTTCTTGAGCAACATTGAAAATATCAGTTCAGGTGTTCCTCAAGGATCCATTCTTGGTCCACTACTATTTATTATTTTTATTAATGACATTTCTGATAATATTAGCTGTCCACATTTATTATTTGCAGATGATCTCAAAATAAATTTTGTTGACGACTGCTTATTATTACAGTCTCAACTTAACTCTTTGGTGTATCTATAACAAATCACATTTAAATATATCAAAGTGCAAGATTCTCAGTTTTTCATGTAAGCGCGTTCCAATACTTTTTGATTATAAAATTTCTAACACCAGCATTGATAGATGTAATGAAATTTTAGATTTCGGAGTTTTATTTGATTCTGGTTTGTTTTTCACGGATCATATAACTGATATTTGTAATAGAGCACATAAATCTTTAGGTTTGATACTGAGAAATTGTAAACAATTTAAATTTACCAATGCACTTATTTGCATGTACTATTCTATTGTACGTTCAAAATTAGAATATGGTTCGATTATTTGGTATCCTCATCAAACCAACAACTCTGATGCGATAGAGAAGGTTCAGCGTAAATTTCTGAAATACCTTTATTATAAAACATATAAAATTTACCCTGAACGTGGCTTTGACCACAAATCTTTACTAAAAGAATTTGGTATTCCTTCCCTTGCCTCACGTCGATTTATCTGTACAAATATGTTCTTATTTAAACTTTGCAATAATTCTATAGACTGTTCTCTTATTCTTAGTCAACTATCCTTTAATGTTCCAAGGCTATCTACGCGTTCACAATTATTTTTCAATTATCCTACTCCTAAATCTAATTTTCTCTTAAATTCGCCTATTTTACTTATGTCCTCTAACTTGAACTTAATTAATAATGAAATAGATATTCACAACACTTCACCTAATCAAATCATCTCCATCTGCACAAGTAAACCTTTTTATTTTCTTTTCAAATATCTCATTATTTTATCTTATTCTGTTTATAAATAATATTGTTACATTTTGCATTATATGTAATTTTATGTAAGCATTTTATGTTAACTATATATTGTAATTTTGTTTATATTTTAATTGTTATTCATTATGTAAAATAACTGTATTTTTGAGTCCTCTTGGAGTAATCTGTGGGCTATATATTTAAATAAATAAATAAATAAATGACAATTTATAATTTATTTTTTCCTCCTTCAGGGCGCAATACAGACCTCCAATCGATGCACCGAATCCGCAACGACACCAGACAAAATTCCCTGAATTCCCAGAACCTTTTGCAAGGTTCTCAGAATCTACCACTTTTACCAGGCACGTCTAATTTTAACCTAAGCCCAATGCCGTCGTTTCGTGGTAGAAGCTCGACTTATGGTTCAATACCACATGCTGGTATGTGGTCAAGACGAGAATCTTTAGGGCCACGAAAATACAGTATCAGTTCTGTCGGAAGCCATGGGCAGAGATTGACTCATAGAAGGTAAGATAACATAGGTCAACAAGGAATAATTGTGCAAACGATTTAAAAACAATACTGTTTTTATGTATATTTAAGGCATTGATTTCAAAAATGACATTGGTTTTTTCTATGAGCTTTAGTTTTCAAAATACGATATATATTAGGTTGTCAAATATCTCCCTTCCGCCTTTTTGTATTATAAACCAAGAGCAAAAAAGCGGAAGGGAGATATTTGACAACCTAATATGATATATTTTACGATATTAGGTGCGCACCCAAGTTCTCGCTGTTTTTTCGATGAAAATGTAACTTTATTATAAAAAAAAAAGAGTGCGCGTAAGGATCACATGCGATTGAAGTAAAACTTATTTGCTACTGTATGAAGTAGCAAATTTAAGTTAAGTAAAAATAAGTACATAATATAACAATTTTAATTAATGTTCATTAGTAATATGGTATGGTAACACTCGTAATGCACACATTTATTAGTGTCGACAATTATACACATTTATATAACAATAAATTATAAATTATATTAGGTTGTCAAATATCTCGCTTCCGCTTTTTTGCTCTTGGTTTATAATACAAAAAGGCGGAAGGGAGATATTTGACAACCTTATATATTTATTATTGCATTAAAAATATGTATAATATTTACAAACAATAATGTAATCAAGGTCATACTTGAAATATGATATGATCGGTTTAAAGTAATTGCTGATTAATAAATTCTATAATATTCGTTCACACAGTGGATTATGTTAAACAACGCCTAAACAAATATTGTTTTCGTAACTTCACTCATCATGTAATAATTGTGTTTGAAGAACATCATGTAATTAAAATTAACATACATTCATTGACTGTTTGTATTTTTTCTTGAATGTATGTATTCTTTGAACAGCTGTAATATCTGTCTTGCCTAAAAAATTGAAGCCATACTTTTATATTTGTCTTATTTATCTATCAAGCCCTGCACATAGCTTGATCTATGAATCATTTTCTTTTTTATGTGAACGTTAATGCAATGATCATCATCAATTTTACGAGGTAATAAATTAACCATATTATTATCAACGTCAACAGCCACATTTATAATTTGTCAAAATATTCCAAATTGCATGTCTCAATCGTCTAATTTGCATGAAACACAGCCTAGGTGAAATTAACCTTTCAGATACAGTATCTAGTTTAGGTAGATAATTTGGTATAGATGGGAATACAAACTCGTTAAATTTACACAAAGTGGTAATTTTACCCGAATTTAATGCCTTTCGACAAGTTTGACATACGACCTGATTATTTGAATCAATATTCAAAAAACCATCATTAAGAATTTGTTTTTGAGCATCATTTGATATTTCTAAGTCACTTTGAAACCAGAGTCGATCACACACAAAACATACATAGCCAAAGCTATCATTTGTAAATTGTTTTTCAAACAATTTTCGTACATTCCCAAACAAATTGAAGTTTTTATAATATAAAAGTGAAAAAATAATATAAAGTGACAAAAACTGATCTTTTGCAAATATTATGGAAGTTGAAATACTTCATTTGACTCTTGCAAAAGATCAGTTTTTGTCACATTATTAGTCATATTATATACAGAATCATTAATTTGCAATTGACGTGATCAGAAAAGGTTACAGCAGTACTTTCATCTGAAAAGATGACAGAATAATACGTTTAAATGTGAGTAGTTGAAGCGTTTTTCAAGATTAAACAGCAAAAAGATACTTACTTATGTCATTGGTGTTGACATTAACATCTAAATTGATACCTCAGGCTCAAGATTTTCTAATAAATTGGCAGTAACCGATTATTTTCCTGCCGTTGTTTTGTTTGACGATGTAAATCTTGTAAATTAAAATTAGTCTCCATAGCCATCATAAAAGAGAAACATGTAAACTTACGTTAAATTTCCAGTGAAGAAATATTGTTTCCACAATTTCACTTATCATGTAATTGTGTTTGTAGAACTTTATTATTGACTGCTTGTTTGTTTAAATATAAAAATATTTTGCATTTTAGTAATAACCTCAAAGGTATATAATAACCTCGAACAACTCGAATAATACAAATTACTTCAATAAAGTTACATTTCTTACGCTGCGCAGATTTTTCCTTTGTTTCATTATTTGCGATTATTTGCACTACAATTATTTATGGGGGACGGGGTAAAATATTCTTTCGATCCTGACATTTTTATTAACTCACAATTTATACTACTACATATTTAACCTTAAAAAGATTTGATATAACACAGAAAATTTGAACAATATGCTTCATGCTTTCGGTGGATACTCGCGACATCTGAGCTAACTAGCGTCGTAAGCGCGAATCATGCAAGCGATTACTTTACACCCATGTCGCGCCTAAAGAAGTTTTACTTCAAAATTTTTTTTTGTTGCCCTGTGTAATTGACCCAAATCCTCATTTGTTTTACTAAATGTGTCCTTTATCCTTTTATTAGGTTGAGGAGGCGTTCCTGCGCTCCCGAGCATTTTCTCTCCCACCAGCAACACGTAGAAGATATATTCATTCCAATTTCGACAAGTAGAAAATCCATACAGTCTTCGAATGTGCTGATTGTCAGTTTAGCTGAGCAGCTTCTCAATGATCCTAAAATGTCTGAGGATACTTCCAGACGTTTGAGTTCTATAGCTGCAGATTTGATTGCTAATAGTGATCCTGAAAGGGCAAATGGTTCTGAGGCCACGTCCAAACTTAAGGAGCTGGTGAAACTTTTGGAACCGAATCAAGGGTGCTTGAAGGGTCGAGAGGATTATTCGCTTTATGTGTTTCCTACAGATAACAGGTAAGGGATAAAAGACATATTGGATGGTAATGAAATATTCGAGAAATTTTAAACGTTTTCAAATATATTATTGCAAATACTGTAACGTTCATTATTTTTACTATCTTGTTATATCTGATCTGAAATCAAATGTAAATCATAAATCAATTTAACTCCTATCATCTATTAACAATCTTCATTTCATTTCGAATTCAATTTCAAAAAAAAATAGTTGCCTAATTTACAAAAAATTGAAAATGTGTTCCTGTACAGTCACAGTCTAAACGCATTTGCAAATAATTCTGTGCGACATTTTCACTTATACTGTGCTTAGCTTGGCGGCATTTTCACATTTTTTCAATAGTTTTCTCACAAAATTGGAAAAGTTCTCCAGTACATGAACACGTATCACGTATCATTTTATTTTTATTACACCTTTATTTTTTAATTTATTATAATACTATATATATATATATATATATATATATATTATTTAGTAGGAATTTTATAAAAAAAAAGTTTGTTTAATAATTTTGTTGAAAAGGTGGATTGATTGTTATATATTATTATAAAGAGTTGTGAAAAAACAATTAAAAAATCTACTCAATTATAAAAACGTTATTTTTTGGGTAAAATTTTCAGGCTAACTTATATGCCATCATACTTTATTTGTGAAAAATTAATTTAATTTTTAATACAATACAATACACAATATTTATTTTGAAAATTAATTTTGCAATATAAACGAAGCTCAAGGAAAATGCAAAATTTGAATTATTTTAATCAAGTTTATGAAAAATAATAATTTTTAATATTCTATATAATGCAAATACGATCCTGTACTAATATATTATTTCTATTTTACTATTCAAGTTCGTTCCTGTAAAATTGCATCTAGATCACATATAAATTATCGGTACGTTCCTGCAACGTTACAAAAATCGTATAAAAATCTAATGAACTTTTATAGCCCCAAAAAATAAATTAATATTTTCTGTAAAAATCTTAATACGTTTTTGTATCAATATATTATTGTTATCTAATTATTTAAAACAGTTTCCAAATCGGTATCTGTAAAATTGCATTTAAATCACATTTACACTTGTGTTAAATTTTTGCAACGTTACAAATATCGGGTGGAATTCAAACAAATTTTCATAGCCCTAGAATAAAAATAATTTTTTATCCTCAAAAGCAATTGTTTTGTCAATACAAACAGAAAGTTTTTAAGATCATTCAAATCAGACGCTTAGTTCACTCAAAAACTGCCGTTTTTTTCACAATTAGCTCGGTACCTCCGAAGCGGATAGACCTGCCTTTGCCAAAACTAATTACCCCTTGTCTCCATCATTACTAATGGAATGTTTTTTATATCATTAAAATCCGATACTTCTCCTGTTCTCTCAAAAACTAGATTTGTATTTTCTGCACTCTTTGCCTCGTATCTCCGTAACGGCTGCACCTGCCTTTGCCAAAAGCTAATCAGCACATATCCCTATCAATAAGAATCGAATGTTTTTTAAGTTATTCAAATCGGTTGATCCGTGCGCCCGAAAACGTGGACGAAAAATGTGGACGCACAAAACATCAATTTTTTCTGAGGTATGCCAGTAAAATGTTCGGAAACCTTCAAAACGTCGAGAAATGCAAAAAATTTCATTTTCGATTTTCGGCCCATTACTATAACTGCCCTACGGGAAGTTAAAATTCATATATTGGATCTATTATTTAGTAATGTATATTATTTTTTTTCAGGTTTAGGTCGATGTGTCGTTGGTTCGTAAACCAACAATGGTTCGACAATGTAGTTTTGCTCTTCATAGCCCTAAATTGCATAACTTTAGCAATGGAGCGTCCAAATATACCATCAACAAGCCCGGAAAGAATATTTTTGTCATCTGCTAATTATGTGTTCACTGCTGTTTTTGCAATCGAGATGCTTGTAAAGGTAAACTAAAAAATTCCTTAGTGATCTTAGTAAAAAACTTATCTACTAATTTTTTTCCTTACTAAAAACTAAGCTTTCATATGATATTTGTGAGTTATTTGACAAAAATGAAAACAATTTCCCGAATTTTCTATTTATTTCCAAAGAATAATGAAAGACCGAATTCAAAGTCGTTTTATTCCAAACTTTTATATCGGGGTGTTTATAACTGTTGGCATGGAATCGTAGCAAATTTTATCTAGTTTCTCCCTATCTAACCTTAAAGGGGTCCTTTAATTTTTTTTCCTATTTTTAGGTTGTGGCAGCAGGTATGATTTACGGTGAAGACGCCTATTTCACCTCAGGCTGGAACATCATGGACGGTTCTTTGGTCATAATTTCCATCATCGATTTGTTGATGTCTTTAGTCAGCGATTCTAGTCCCAGGATTTTTGGAATTTTGAGGGTTTTTAGGCTGCTGAGGTCTCTTCGACCTTTGAGGGTGATAAACAGGTAACATAATCGCTTTAAGGGGCACAACTAGTGTAACCGCCTAAAAAAAGGTGATATTTGGGAATTTATATTAAAAAAACTACTTTATCAAACATTTCAAAATTTTAGGAATATATTTATACATGTTTTAAGAATACATAGTAAAATTTTTGAAGAAAAAAATTAAATATTTTTTAAGTTATCGTCGATCTCCAACGGCGCGACAAAAAAGGTTTTCACTGCTGCAGTGATTCCGGCCTTCTACGTGGATGAAATTTAAAAAAAAAAATCTCGTTAAACTAGATAATATTGTCTGTAAAATGAACTACGATAAAGAAAAAAATCAAAAATTGACAAAATGGCGGCGTTTTTTTTAAAAAAAGTCGAATTTTACCCAAAATTTTGGTCGTTTTTGGATTGCCAAAATTCGATTTTTGATCCGATCAAAAAATCAATAGTTCATTTTACGGAGAACTATATATAGAACATGTAAAAAAAATTTGATAGTGATCGGATCATTTGTTTTTGAGTAATCGCTGTAGCAAATTCGGCAAATGCTGTTTCGAGAAAAACACGTTTAAAGATTAAATGATCGTTATACTATATTCTGTATACATACTCTTTAAATGGCTGTAACTAAAAAACTATTTAAGATATCGATTTAAAATTTTGGTATGTTATTTTTAGAGATATAACCTATCGAAATAGGGAAAAATTGAAAATTCGATTTTTTGAAAATTTCACACTAGTTGTGCCCCTTAATGTGTTCTGGATGTTTTTTTACTAATTCTTGCCAATTTCAGAGCTCCTGGTCTAAAACTGGTAGTCCAGACTTTACTATCATCCTTGAGGCCAATCGGCAATATTGTGTTGATTTGTTGTACATTTTTTATAATTTTTGGAATTTTAGGAGTACAGGTAAATTATTTGTTATATATAAAATAATGCAAATTTTTATGTATTAATTTTTTTTATATTTTAGTTATTCAAAGGAGCTTTTTACTATTGCGAAGGCGAGAATATAAAAGGCGTCAAAAACAAAACAGATTGTCTAGCAATCCAAGGCAACGTTTGGATAAACAGAAAATACAATTTTGATGATCTGGGAAAAGCTTTGATGTCACTTTTTGTCCTAAGTTCGAGAGATGGTTGGGTGAATATTATGTACACTGGTTTGGATGCTGTCGGAGTCGATCAGCAGGTGAATAAAAAAAAAATATTTGCTACTGTACAAGAAGGCATTTAAGTTAAAAATAAATACATCATATAACAATTTGGAATAATGTTCATTAGTAATATGATAACACTCTCGTGATGCACACATTTATTAGTGTCGTCAATCATTATACACATTTATATAGTGATAAATTATAAATTATATATTCTTTAATAGCATTAAAAATGTGTATAATATTTACAAACAATAATGTAATCGAAGTCATACTTGAAATATGACATGATCGGTTTAAAGTAATTGCTGATTAAAAAATTCTATGATATTCGTTCGCACAGTGGATTATGTCAAACAACGTCTAAACAAATATTGTTTTCGCTACTTCACTCATGTGATTGTGTTTTAAGAACTTCATGTAATTAAAATTAACATACATTCATTGACTGCTTGTATTTTTTTTACTTTTTCGCTGGCGATACAATCTCATTCTTTAAACAGCTGTAATATCTGTCTTGCCTATTAAAATATTTTCCATTTTATTAACTTCAAATATTTATAGAAACGACGAATAATATAGAAATTATTTCAACAAACTTAATTTTCGTACACGGCACAAATATTTTATTTAAACAAAATATAAAAAGGTCTCTACTGACGAACAAACTTAATTTCAAAGCAAAAAAGAGGACTCTATTGACGAGAAGACTAAATTTCGTGACAAAAAAAGGAACTGTACTAAGGAGCAGTTGATAAATAAAAAAATATAACGATTTTACGAGCAAACTAATAAAAAATAAAGAAAGACCCTACTGACTAACAAACTAAAAAGAAAAAAGAAAAAGGGCTTTTAAACAAAGATTAGAAGAACAAAGGATCTCTATTGACGAGCAAATTAATTAAAAAAATATGAATGGAACTCTACTCGCAAACAAACGAAAAAGTAAAATCAAAAGTAAAAAAAACTCTACTGACGAGCAAACTAAAAATAGTACAAGAAAGGGACTCTACTGACGAGCAAATTAATTGTAAAATTATAAAAGAAACTCTACTCACAAGCAAACTAAAATTAAAATTAAAAAGGGAATTTACTGACAAGCAAACTAAAAATAGTAGAAGAAAGGGACTCTACTGACGAGCAAACTAAAAATAGTAGAAGAAAGAGACTCTACTGGCGAGCAAACTAAAAATAGTAGACAAAAGGGACTCTACTGACGAACAAATTAAATATCTAGGCGACGTGAAATGGGACTCTACTTATGAGCAACATAAATTTTTAAGCAAAAAGGGACTCTACTGACGAGGAAATTAATAGTAAAATTATAAAATAAATTTTACTCACGAGCAAACTAAAATTAAAATTAAAAAGGGAATCTACTGACGAACAAACTAAAAATTGAAGAACAATGGAACTTTACTGACGAGCAAACTAACAATGAAAGCAGAAAAGGATCTACTAAAGAATAAACTAATAATAAAAGGGGACTCTACTGACGAGCAAATAACAATTCTAATAGAAAAAAACACTACTGACAAGCGATTTAAAAATATTTAAAAAAAGAAAATCTATTGATGAGCAAATAAAAAAAGGACTCAACAGACGAGCAAACTAAATTTTGACCCGAATAAGAAAGGGACCCGGAATTTCGTAAATTACGGACAACAGTGTTAAATATTTTTCTGATTCAGGCATTTTTCATTAAATCAAGATTTGTACTACGATGTAACTTTAAAATGTTCATTTATCTATACCGATTTCTTTGTTGATATCGGTACGCATACAACGACAGATCTCTATTCACATACGCGACGACTAATCACAATCGACCCGAATTAAAATGATATCATCGAGAGCGAATGACTCTCACTTGACCTTGCCGTAACAATTTTCGTTGCATTTGTACGGATTTACACCCATGTCGCGCCTAAAGAAGTTTTACTTCAAAAAATAATTGTCTAAACTGGTGAGAACTAAATTTTTATACATATTTTCCAGCCAATAGTAAATTATTCCGAGTGGCGCCTTCTGTACTTCATAGCCTTCATCCTTCTTGTTGGATTTTTTGTACTCAACATGTTCGTCGGAGTTGTCGTCGAAAATTTTCACAGATGCAGGGAAGAACAAGAGAAAGAGGAAAGGGTTCGAAGGGCTGCTAAAAGGGCTCTTCAGATGGAAAAGAAACGCAGACGTACGTATACCAAATCATTTTACCAATATCATTTCATCCACGTAGAAGGCCGAAATCACTGCAGCAGTGAAGAGCCGTTTTTTGTCGCTCCGTTGGAGATCGACGATAACTTGAAAAATATTTAATTTTTTTCTTTAAAAATTTCACTATGTATTCTTAAAACATGTGTAAATATATTCCTAAAATTTTGAAATGATTGATAAAGTAGTTTTTCTAATATAAATTCCCAAAAATCACCTTTTTTTAGGCGATTACACATTTTAATTCCATTACTTTTTCTAGTGATGCACCAGCCTCCATACTACACCGGCTACTCTCCAATCAGGATGTCCGTCCACAATGTGGTGACCAGCAAATATTTTGACCTGGCAATAGCAGCAGTCATAGGTCTAAATGTTGTCACGATGGCCACTGAATACTACAAAATGCCTCCGGCTTTGGAAACAGCACTGAAGGTCTTCAACTACTTTTTCACCGCCGTCTTCATCATTGAAGCCGGCCTAAAATTGTATGCATTGGGCTTCAAAATCTACTTGAAGGATAAATGGAATCAATTGGACGTCGCTATAGTTATACTATCTATAGTTGGTAAGTGGAATAGATTGATGAAACCTGCTGAACTATTTTATTTATCCAATTTTTATTTTAAGTATCCAATTTCTTTTTCCCCCAGGTATTGTTTTGGAAGAACTGGAAACCAATATAATCCCAATAAATCCGACAATCATGCGAGTGATGAGAGTTCTAAGGATTGCCAGGGTTCTCAAATTGCTAAAAATGGCAAAAGGGATCAGAGCATTGTTGGACACTGTCATGCAGGCTTTGCCACAAGTTGGCAACTTGGGTTTGTTGTTTTTCTTGCTGTTTTTCATATTTGCAGCTTTGGGAGTGGAGTTGTTTGGAAGACTGGAGTGCTCTGATGAAAAACCCTGCCAAGGTAATGGGAAAATAATTTATCAACTCTGGATAATGTATTTATGTCTCATTTGGTCATTTATAGGTTTGGGAGAACATGCTCATTTCAAAAATTTTGGAATGGCCTTCTTGACCTTGTTTCGTGTAGCCACTGGTGACAACTGGAATGGAATCATGAAGGATACCTTAAGGTAAACTATATTGATTTTTATCATTACCAAAATACCTTTTTGTTTTACGAATTTATTATTTATCTAGGGATGATTGCAATGATGCCACCGATTGCGTCACCAACTGTTGTGTCAGTCCAGTGATTGCTCCAATATTTTTCGTCATTTTTGTCCTGATGGCCCAATTTGTGCTGGTCAATGTGGTTGTTGCTGTTTTGATGAAACATTTGGAAGAAAGTCACAAACAATTGGAAGACGAGCAGAATATGGAAGTGGAATTAGAACGCGAACTTGAGAGGGAATTGGAGGTAATGGAGTGTAAATTGAGATTTGTTAAAGTTTGTTTAACGTGTTTTTTGCAGGATGTTGAAGATAAGGAGTTGTGCAAAAAATTGGACGAGCCTGGTGAGAATGGAGAAGCCAAACCCATACGAAGACCTTTAGCAAAAGTTTTGTCCCTGCCCAAGAATTACACATACAGCCCATTTGTACGTCCCAGAAACTTACACAATGATGCTGATTAAATTCTCTTCTTACTCCTGTGTTTATTTTTAGGTACTCAAACCAGTTCCATCAATCCCCTTACTATTATCGCGCAGACGAGCATCATCCCTGCTTCCACCTACAAGTGTAGAACCGAGAAGAAGACGTCAAACCTGTCACTCCCAGCAAACTTTAGGTTTACCATCATACAGACAATCCAGAAATTTATCATTGTTCCTCCTGGATGCGTCTTCAGGGCAACTTTTAGACGCCGGTAAGCATTTACGACGATCCACAGATCCTCCCAGAATAGACATTATGAAAGCTGATCTAGAAGCCAACCTGGTACCAAGAAGGACACCAAAATTGGGCAACAGTGCAAGGACAATGTCTTTATCAGAAACTTCGACTATACCATCTGGTAGAAGGATGAGCCAGAGAAAGTTGGCAAGGGCCAGCAGTTTGGCAGAAAGTTCTCCCAGATTGAGATACAGATGGAGAAAACACAGCGCCGAAACTGATTCTGTTGACGAGGTTTTGTACGAGGAGGATTTTGGGGTTAAGGATAACAAAGAAGAGAGTGTTATTAATGAAGACGACAGTAATTTGTTTGTGAAGAAGGAAGAAAATTTACCGCAAAAACGTAGTCGTTTGGAAAAGGCGAAGTCGTATGAGGATCCTTCGTTTATGTTGAGGGAACGCGAGAAGAATGAAATGCATGTATTCAAGTAAGTATAAACTATATCAAGGGCGAGCAACCTTTTTAACCCACGGGCCAATTTGGTTTTCAAAATTTTATGGCGAGCCGCACGTAATTTATATATATATATATATATATATATATATATATATATATTAGCTGACCCGGCGAACGTTTAGCCACCGAAAATATTTTTAACTTCCCGTAGGGTAAGTTATAGTAATCGCAAAAAAATCGAAAATGAAATTTTTTATATATCTTTACGTTTCAGAGGTTTCTGAACATTTTGGCATACCTTAGAAAAAATGGATGTATGTGTGTGTGTGTGTGTGTGTGTGTATGTATGTGTGTGTATGTATGTGCGGATACAAATTTTCGTCGACGATTTCGGGAACACGGATCAACCAATTTGAATAATTCAAAAAACATTCGATTAGTACTAATAAGGAGACGTGCTGATTAGTTTTTGGCGAAGTTAGGTCTAGCCGTTCCGAAGATACGGGGCAAAAAGTGCCGAAAACGGTAACTCAGTTTTTAAGAGAACGGAGCATCCGATTTGAATAATTCAAAAAACATTTTACTTGTATTGGCAAGATGAAGAGTTGATAAAATTTTCATAAATGTAGGTCTAGCGGTTTCGGAGATATGGAGGAAAAAGTAAAAAAATGAGCCATTTGGCAGTCAAAAATGATCATTAGACATATGCACATCAAATTATCAGATATTTTAACAATAAGTATACATTTTGTTAACATTCCTATGGGTTCCGTACCAATGCTTATGCGTTAGACAGCGACGCGGCGCTTACGCGCTTTATATTTTGTCCCTATGCAGTTAAAGCAGTACGATTGCTTTGAAAAAAAAAGTTCAGATCTTCCACAATATGTCAAAATAAAGAAAAAATTTTTTTTTCAAAAAAAAAATAATAAAAAAAATTTTTTTTTTTAAATTTTTTTTTTCAAAAAAAAGTAATTTTTTGTCCAATTTATAGTTTCTCAAAAATCTTATTTTTTCAAAGTAATTTTTTTTTCAAAAATGTTAATTGTTTTTAAAAAAATAATAATTTTTGGTACGGGAAGTTCCAGCAATTTGCCTTAAGGCACGATGCCGTAATTGCCTTAAGACAGAATTCCACTTACAGCTAGTTAGAAAATCATTAGTATTAGAAATGGCTAACTAATTCCGAATGTATAAATATGTGGTATATAAATAAAATGGACAGCTAACACTATTACATTACTAACATACATATTTGAATTAAGTTATGCTATGTCTAGCGAAACGAGTGAGATTTCAATAATTCTGAAAAAACATTTCAGTTTTCTCTCAAAAACAGTTTTATCTTCACATTTTAATATTAAATTTCTAATTTTTTTTGCTAGAATTGCTGCTTCTGCAATTCTAGCAAAAAATTGCAAGAAATTCAAAAACTATGTACTTCTAATGCACATTGAGAAATATTTGTACAGTAAAATAAGCCTGCAAATCAGTTAGTTTATCGGAGGTAACCATTTCGTTGCCAATATCTAAGAATTGTTTTTAAAATGTTGCAGCGAATAGAGCGGATAAATTTAAGCTTTTTTATAAGCTCAGAAAAATCTCGATCGAATTTCAATTAAAAACGTTCACAGGCGATAATAATTAATTGATCGATTACCGAGCTAAATAAAATATGATTGGACTACTAAAATGACTATTATAAAATAATGAAAATTTGGAGTTGTATGTAGTTTTCCATTCCGCATTAAGAAAATTAAAATAAAGAACAAAATTTGAAAAAAATGTTGCGCTCGTACAACCCATGATAAAAATAAATAGCTTTTTCTTTTTAAATAAAACTGAAGTTTTCCCATAAGGTCAAAAGTCTGAACTAAAATTAAGTCAAAAGATTTGTTGACTGAGCGCGAAAATAATGTATTTACAACAAAATTGCTACAAGAAAAGAACAAAAATACAAAATTGAAAAAAGTATATATTTTATACAATTACGAGTATATATTAGAAGTATTTATAAATATAAATACAAAATACAAACAAATAATAGTTAAACAGAAAAACTAATTCACTTGAAAACTTTAATAAGAAATTTGGCATTGTTTTCTTATATAAGCTTTGATTAGCTTATCAGCGTTTTTTTTTTAATTTTGTTCTTTTTTTTCAATGCGAAAAGTAGCAACACGTATGCAGCGTTTTACTCATTGTCAGTTTTGATAGGTGGCAATTTTTTGTGAATTTTATGATTGAAATTAATACAGGTCCACAAAAAAAAGTTGTCTGGATTGGGTGTGTGACATATGTTTTCCGATGTACTGTCAATGTACTTTTACCGCTGAATATAATAAATTTATAGTCAAAATTGGGACACAAAATATGGAAAAATATTTAAAAAATGGTACAATCTTCAATCTAGCATTTTTTCTGAATGAATGAATTATTATCTACCGACTTTTCTTTTGCAGACCTGTGTAATTGTTCGCACACAAAAATAATTTATTATAATTTGATTTGAGTTTTTTTTCAAAAGCAAAAATTTCTCAGGGCTGACATAAGATTTATTAAAAATTGCGATGTTTACTGAAAAAATAAATTTTCTAAGTCTGTATTATTTTGCATGGTAAATGGCGAAGAAAACATTTACATGAAAACACAGCTGTTTTGTTAGGTTTGACCATTTGGAATCACAATTAAAATTTGTTCACATTTTCTTTTTCTGAAAATGAAATGTGAAACACAAGATACTACAAAAAATATTAATCTTTTTTATTAAGTACTTTATTTTGTTTTATTAAGTACTACAATTGTTCTTTTATATCCAAAAACAATTCACGCTCTAAACTGTCAGGAAGTTTTTAAATTCAGGGTGATTTAAACTTTGCGACAAGTTCTTAATATTTCTTGCAATATTGTTAAACTAATATTTGTATTAATATTTATTTTATCAGGAAATGCTATTTCTGCGAACAACCGTTTTTACCAGTTTTTGACAGACAACAAAATTAGCCTTTACAGCCGTATTTAATAAAATATCTAGAAAAATAATCTGTAGTTGAGAAATGCTTGACGGGCCGCGGGTTGCTCATCCTTGAACTATATCCTCAATTGGTGTAAATTTTGATACGAATTCATTTTCAGGGCTGGTGATTTCCTGACGGTTCCTGAAATCGGAAGCACTTCATTTGCAAATGATTACGATCAATATCAATGACAAACAGCACAAGACGAAGAAACCAAATCCATTCTTCGGAGTGATGATTTTTTATCACCGAGGAAAAGAAAGTCTTTGCTTGTAAAAATGTCAACTTTGCATTGTGTTATTGACGAAGACGATGGTGAAAAGAAAAAAGACCCAAAATTGGTAGATGATGATGAACAGTCTCCAGAGCAAACAAATGTGTTTGCAGACGTCCATAAAGTAGAACTGCATCAGACAGATAAATCAGAAGCCAAAACTACCAGAAAATTGGTTGAGCCAAATTTATCCAGGATCAGCCAACTTAAACAGAAATCCAGTCAAGAATCATCAAGTCTGGACGACAAAAGCCAGGCAACAGTCATATGCCATCAAAATGGTGACAATAATGATTTACAAAATAATAAAAGTGTTTGTGACAATTCCAATAGTGACACATTGACTTCTGATAAAGTTTCCATGTCATCAGCAGACAATCAATGTGTTTTGGACAGTATTACAGAATCCATGTACAGTTTCGAAAGTTTAAACATTGACTCTTGTAGTATACAAAATTGCACAGTCGATATATATAGTGAAGACATTGAATATATAGATGAATGATATTTGCTGATTTTAGTAAATCTGCACTTGAACTTTTGATGATGGACCACTTTGCATGATGTAGATGTAACAGGGTTAGGCTAAGTTTGTGTCGTTAGTAGAAAAAAATGTAATTGGAATGTTGGTAAAAGAACAATAATTTGGTAGAGGATCAATAATTATTTTAGTAGAATGTACTAGAAGGTTTTGGAAAAAAAATTTTGAATTCAAAGTCATTTTATTCCAAATTTTTATATCGGAGTGTATATAACTGTTGGCATGGAATCGTAGTAAATTTTATCTAGTTTTTTCCTATCTAACCCAAAAAGGGGTGCTTTCATATGATATTTGTGAGTTATTTGACAAAAACCAAAAAAGCGTCCCAAAATTTCTATTCATTTCCAAAGAATAATGAAAGATCGAATTCAAAATCGTTTTATTCCTAACATTTGCATCAGGGTATATATAACTGTTAACATGGAATCGTATTAAATTGTATCTAGTTTCTTCCTATCTAACCGAAAAGGGGTGCTTTCATATGATATTTTTGAGTTATTTGACAAAAATCCAAAAAGTGTCCCAAAATTTTTATTTATTTCCAAAGAATAATGAAAGATCGATTGCAAAGTTGTTTTATTCCAACCTTTTATTCTGGGGTGTATATAACTGTTGGCATGGAATCGTAGTAAATTTTATCTAGTTTCACCATATCTAACATAAAAAGGGGTGCTTTCATATGATATTTGTGAGTTATTTGACAAAAACCAAAAAAGCGTCCCAAAATTTCTATTTATTTTCAAATAATAATGAAAGACCGAATTCAATGTCGTCTTATTCCAAACTTTTATATCGGAGTGTATATAACTGTTGGCACGGAATAAATTTTATATATATAAATATTTATATAAATATCTATATATATTAATAATAAATTTTATCTAGTTTCTCCCTATCTAACCAAAAAGGGGTGCTTTCATATGATACTTGTGACTTATTTGACAAAAACCAAAAAAAAGTGTTTCATAAAAATTATAAGAATTTCTATAACTATTGTTCTTTTACCAAATTAATGACAACGTATAGTTTTGTTATTATTAGTAATCGAACGATAATTAGATAGCTAAAATAATCCCAAAACCATTTTTTTGAGGTGTTAACTTCCAAAAATAAACTAAAACTTGTAAACAAAATTACACTGACGAAAAATCCTACTAGCTGTCTTACTATTAGCTGCTTCTTGTAATATAATAAATATTAATAAACGATTTATTTGTAAAATAAAAAATTTAATTAGGGATGTTCTCACGTCAAAAAAATGGTTTATCGAAAACTTATAAAAAATATATAATAAATAATTGTTATTAATTTATAACAAGAACCAAGGAAAAAATAATTGTAAATTTTGTAGCTATACGGAAAAAGTATTAAATAATACTTTAACAACAAATGTTAATAATAAATCGTCAATTACGAAAAAATCTATATATAAATATATTTAAAAAAATAATAAAACAAAAGAATAATAATCATTTAAGATAATAAATACTCATAATTAGTGTAGAATAATAAATTTAGATAAATTAGACAAGACTTCTTACTTAAGAAACTCTAATGACGAATTTACTAAACAATTTATATATATATATATATATATATATATATATATATATATATATATATATAACATTAAAGTATAACGTGCATTAAAATTTAAATATATAAATTAAATACGTTTGTTTTACTTATTTTCAAATTTTCTCTGAACATTTAAAAATTAATGTTTTTGCAATATTTTTGGCGAGTTTATTCAAAATTTTGCAACGTTTTTGCTTTTTTTATTGTATTTACGAAAATTTCAATTTGAATACAATTTGAAAAATAGATTATTCGATTTGAAAATATTAAATTTGAAACCACGCATTTTTATACGTTTTAATCGATTTGAAAATATGAATTTTATATTTTTCCTTTATCACTATTATTTATCTAAATTAAAAAAAATATTTATATATAAAAATATATATAGAAAAATGTATGAAAAAAAATTGGTGGTTGTTTATAAAAATTTTAAATATGATTTTACTATTTATTTATTTTATTTAATAATTTATTATATATATATATTATTGAAATTTACAATGTGCGTTATACATAAATAAATAAATAATGTATAAATATTACTAAAATTAATAATAGTAGGTAGATAAAATTGCCAAAGTATTTTAGAAATTAGTTGTGTAAAATGTATATATTAGAAAAAAATTATATATAAATATATAATATATTAAGAATTACGTTCACAAAGCAATAATTTTTGTAGTACTTCAAATATGATACATATAAAATATGTATATATTTATAAATTTAAGCATATATACATAAATATATACATATAAATGTATATATTAGTGTATATATGTCCCTTTTGTAGTATTTCTATATAGGCTGTGCTGAATTTTGGCCTTTTCTCCTAAAAATCTGTATCTCAAATTGAAAGGTTTTCAATTTAGCAAACAATAATTAATTACTAACTATTCCTGTTGCTACTTTTTATAAATCAATCTGTATAAAATTATTCATTTTTTGTACAGATTGTTCTTAAGATGGACTAAAAGACCGTATATAATAATTTACTTTATAAATTCTAACTAACTAATTTTTACTGTTTTTGCTTTGTTTAAAGTTGTTATACAATAGTCAAGCTTTTTTATAATAATTATTCATATATATATTTATAATTAAGGTCTTTTAGTCCATAATCCACTTGACAATCCAAATCTTAAACGCCTTTCCTCTGGACTCTCTACTATTCGAAAAATTACTAGAATAATATATATATATATATATATATACAGTTTTGCATAAACAATATTATAAATATAAATATAAAAATAATTATATACATCTATATACATGTATATATATATATATATATATATATATATATATATATATATATATATGCATGTATGTATGTATGTATATTATTATAATAAATATGTAAATATATTGTTTGAAAGTTAGCAAAATAAATATAGAAATAATAGATCAAATAAATATAATTAAAGATATTATAATTATCGTTGGAGTTAGAAGTTTAATGAATAAAATTTTTATTAGCAAAATATATATTGTTGATTTTATTTATATGCGATTTACAAAGATGATGCACTTCGTTTATTATTATATTCAAAATTTATTTGTACATAATTTTTTTTTAAGTATATTTCAGGTCTTGGATAATTATATATATATATATATATATATATATATATATATATATATTAATTATCAAGATTAATTATCAAGCTCTAAGTTATTTTTTCAACTAAGATAATTTTGTTTGCTTATCTTCTAATCCAGATATAATTAATTTATTACAATAATCAAATTATTTACTAAGTATGTACTTTTATAAAAACTGATAATTTAAATATCATACATTTGTCATGAAACAAGTTTATTTGTTTGAAGATATTGATTTATCTATTTTATAATACTTTTATTGTTAAAATTGAAGATTTAAATCAAAATTGGTTCGAGTTTCCGAAAAAGAGGCGCTCGAGTCACAGAAGCGCCATCTTCGACCGAAAGAACTCGCACGCTCTGCAGTCGCACATCTACAAGTTTCCTTTGCACATCTATGGTTTATGCCAGTCTGTGGGATGCCATGGCATAAATTCGTTCATTTTCTCATCGGAGTTGGTCGAACAAACATCGTGGAATAAAGAGGCCTCCCTGCCAATTGCTGCCTGGACTATAATTTGGTACGTTGTACTTGTGCTAAATACATTTCGCTTTACGGATTCACTCGGATTTCATTTCGTGTTCGACAGTGTTGCGCTAATACTAAAGTCGTATTAGTGCCATAGACGCTCGCCGGATATGTTTCATTTCATAATGTCTACTGTTAAATAAAATTATTTCGTTGACTATGCAAGAGTTTACAATCGAAAGGCTGCCGGACCTTGTGCAACGTATTCGAAAAGTGATTGTGGTTTGTGAATATTATGAACTCGGTTATAAGAATTCCGGGAATATTTTTTATTCACTATTGTATAAATTCAACCGCTATTTTATAAACATTTTTATCATTGAGATACTTGGGTATTTTGTGAGTATATGTGTATATATTATTCAATTTTAATATTTATTTATATTATCACCAGGTGCTAACTCATTTCGATTTGTAGATAACAAAAATTGCGTATATTTGACCACAAACATTCTATGATTATCTGGAGCAACTGCAATGTACTCAAAGGCAGCTTTGGTGACGTATCAACATCATTCACTAATCTGCATTAGTGTTTAGCATAATTTAATACTAATTTCTGTATATTACAGGTGCAGGTATGTTCGAGTTTGGGGCAGCCAGTTACTACAGTAGTTTTGTGCAGAATCTTTCAGTTTTCATGCTAATATTATTACTGCAATGCACTCACTCTGGTTTTATTGGAATTGCATTTGGCATGAAT